GTCTGTCTGTCTGTCTGTCTGTCTGTCTGTCTGTTGTTCTATCTTATCATTCTATCTATCGTTCTATATATTGTCAGAGGTGGACAGTAGTGAAGTATTTTTACTCTGCTTTAAAAGTACTTTTGAAGTGTCTGTACTTTATCAGTGTTTTTCTTTAGAAAACTTTACTTCACAACATTCCAAAGCATACTATTGTACTTTTTACTGCATTACGTTTCATATTAAATATAATTTAATTCTAATTACATTAGAAATCTATTACTTTCTTTTACTCAAGTAAAAGCAACTCAAACAAAGATTTACTTGAGTACAAGAAAGCACTACATTGTTTAAGTATTAAGGTAAAACAAACAACTTTTATTTATGAAATGTAGTGCAGTAAAAAAGTATGACATTATGTTTGGAATGTAGTGAAGTAAAGTTTTCCAAAGAAAAACACTGATAAACTACAGATACTTTTAAAATTTACTTAAGTAAAAATACTTCACTACTGTCCGCCTCTGTCTATTGTTCTATCTATCTATCGTTCTAACGTTTGCTCGTTCTGTCGACTGTTCAGTCTACCCGTCTGCCTGTTGTTTTAGCTATCTGTCATTTATTCTGTCTGTAAATATGTTGTTTAATCTGTATATCATTCATTCAGTCTACCTGTTTGTCTGTCTGCCTGTTGTTTTAGCAATCTGCCATTTGTTCTGTCTATCATTCTAGCATTGTTTGTTTTATATGTCTGTCTGCTGGTCTGTCTGTTGTCTATTATATATCTATATTTCTGTCTTTTTGTCTAAGTTCTAGATATCTATTGTTCATTCTATCATTTTATCATTTATTCTTTGTCTATGTAACTATCATCTGTCTTTCTTTCTGTCTCTCTAATTCTAACTATCTGTCGTTTGTTATATCGTTCATTCTATCTACCGGACCGGTCTGTCATTCTAGTTATCTATCAATCTATAGTTCATTCAATCTATCATTCTATCGAACTTCGAGGGTTTTGACGTGTTTAAAATAGGTTTGTTTGCAGTAATTAAAATTTAGAAACTGATTTAGAATTTAAAAGGCATTTACAATTCAGTTCTGGATGTTTAACAGCCCTGCTTGCCATTACTTGGCTTCATTGATGCTTCACAAAACAAACTTGTGACCAAACGTATGGTGGCATTGATTATGATTTATGAATCATTCAAAGATCAGTAATAAAGTCTACCTGAAGACTGGATATCATAATCATAAAAATTCAGTTTTCAAGCTTGTGAAAGTGTGCTTTGAAAAGGTCAAGTCTTGTGTATTAAACACTGCTCAAGACACTCTTGCTGGTTGGCTACAGAAACACTAAAGTTTTTTTTGCTTGTGTTGGATAGATCAGTGACAATGTTAACAGTATGGTAGTGATATGCAAACCCACATCTATAAATATACCACAGAGTAATGCAGCACACTGAAATAATTTTCTGAAAGAAATGACACAATAGTAGGTGAGATATAGGTCCTATGTATTTCTCACCATGTGTTTGAGTGAGAATGCTGTGTTAATGTATAGGATAGCTTGGATGCCCATTTAACTATTGATTTTGTCATTGAATTCTAATCTCACATCTTACAGTGTTTTGTAGTGTCACTCAGACCACAGACCATTTCACTAAGAGCTTTTCTTCTGCACTGCAAGATTGCAGATAAAATGACATGATGACAGAGCTATGATGTGGGTCTCTAAAACCGCAGGTTTAAACACCTCGCTGACAGGAACTGTCAGGCCACCGTCTCAGTTCTCAGAACATCAAATCTTTGAACATCTCTGACACCTGAATGAACAGAGCTCGTGTTTTGGACATCCTAAATTCATCTTGAGCACTCAAGGTTTTAGATGCAAAACAAATTGGATGTTAAATTAATACACATTTTAACACATCCTGCCATATTATGCAAATCTAATTATGAAACACCCACAGAAAATTAGTGTGAATTGAACATCTGTGCTGTTTGTTTCTTATTTCCTTTAAAACAAGATTGTATGCAACCATCATATATTCATCCTTAGTTTTAGACCTCACATTTTCCTCATGAATTACAGGACAGGAATGAATGTGTGTGTGACATGGTTTAGAAATGTGGTTTGAGCCTCCATTCCCAGTTTTTCAGGTAACTATCACCCTTTTAACCATGTTCCTGACTAAACTGACAAATGCAATGCTGTGTAGTGATAGTGACCTGAGACTGACTAATATCTCCTCCTTTCATTCGTGTGTGTGTTTTTGTGATGCATCTCAGTATGCATTTTGATTGGTCAGTTGCAGTATTCAAATGACACTTCTGAATGACCATCATCCAGCAACTGTTTCCTGTATGGTTGTGGTCACGTTAAAGGGGTCATATGATGCGATTTCAATTTTTCCTTTCAGACATGGTTTTACGTTTATGCGGCAAAAGACAGTATAAGTCATTATAATCCGTAATTATGTCCCCACTGGATGCAACAAATGCCTCGTTTATAATGGGTTTTAATGTTTTTGTCTTGTACTCCAGCCGGAACACGGCATCACAATATGGTAAGGGCAGTAACGTCACGCGCTTGAGGCATTCAGCCAATCACAACACACTGGATAGCTGGCCAATCAGAGCACACCTCGCTTTTCAGAACGATGAGCTTTGTAAAAATTGACGCGTTTCAGATGGCGGGGCATAGAGGAGAAACAATAATGTACAGTATGTGGAAAATAATGTGTTTTTTGAACCTTAAACCGCATAAACACATTTCATTACACCAAATACACAAAATAATGTTCTTTTTAGCAACATCATATGACCCCTTTAAATCTCTCTGTGGCCTCTAGAAGTAAGGTATAAAAAGTCATATTGGTATTGTCAATGCAATTAAATTTTTCATACTAACTGTATAAATAGGATAAAATACAGTTATTTGGTCAATTTTTTTTTAAATAAACCTCAACAGGTTGAGTTTAGTGTTCCTCATTCCTCTCACATAGTAAAATAATTTTACATTTTTAACTCAAATCGTTATGTCCATGTATTTATTTGTTTGGTAAGTAGTAAGATTAATGCACATTCTGCTTAGTTATTGCAAAATAAACCTTCTTCAGGGTTATTCAGGATCACTTTGATCACCCTGACATGGTTTATTTTGCAATAATGATATTTGTGGCAGTGATGCGTGTATTAAAAGGTAATTGTGTCAAGTGTTGGTCTGGGTCCTTACAGCTTTATGTAATCTATTGTGTGTAGCCTATAACTCCATATTTTAGTTAATAGCTATGAGAAATGGGACAAAAACAAACACATTGATACCTCTGAGGAAAATGATACCTTGAGCTAAACACATTGGCTTTAAAGAATGGAAGTGTAAACGAAACGCCCTGTGTGAGAGAGTGTGTGTTTGTGTGTGTGTGCCCTGGGAGGGGTGCATATGGAACTGATTGGATTGGTTGAGGGAGTGAATTCGACAATAGGAGGAGTCTCATACGACGCTCGGGCGCTAGTATGTTTTTTGCTTTGCCGCTGAGATTCTAATGCAACGGAGCCCAATCAAGCTCAGATTATGCCATCTCCCAACTCATCCTTCCAGAGCACGCGGACCTGAGGACCACATAAACGGCATGGGCACAACGCCATCGTTCATACCGGAACCTCTTCTTGTAGACAGGAATTGTATTTTCTTCAGTCACTTCAGATGGCAGATCTTGAGCAAGGAGAAGCAGCCTCTCCCCGAGCCCAGCAGCTCTTCTGAACGCGAGGGATCTGAGAACGCGCAGGTGTGCCCGGGGTGCTTCCAGCTGCCCTTGTGCTTATTATTTCCGCAGGGGAAAGTATCAGGATTACCAGCAGATGTAAATTGAAGAACACTTCTGATAGGTACCGGTGAGGAAGAAGGGGGAAAAAAGCTGGAAACTGTGAGAGTCGGGAGCTCGCGCGCAAGGCTCAACATATCACTGGATTCTACATTTATACCTCAAGAAAAATGTCATCTCAGACGAAGATCAAGAAGGACAAGGAGATCATTGCGGAGTATGAAACGCAAGTGAAAGGTTTGTATGCTTGCCTTTTAATGAATCGATCTGAGGAGTTTACATGAACATCATTTCACTTGGCCTGTAGCGAGATACTTGGATGTTTATATCGATCCGATTCATAACC